ATGCAGTTTAAAGTAAATAACTTCATTTTCACTTACCTCTTATCAAAATTAATGGTGAAATTAATAATTAAATATTTAAATAAAATTAAAAATTAATGTTATTTTAAACACAACATTAATCTATAAATGGATGATGTCCACTTACTCCTATGATCATACTTATTTTATTTTTTAAAAAAATCAAAAATCAAAATAGTACTCTTGGAATTTCAATAAATATAATCTCATGCAATTTTTTCATTTTTTCCCCCTTTGTTGTACATATAATTTCGAAAAATAAATTTTTTAAAAAAATTAATTCAAGTAAGAATTGGAATTATCAAACTTACAAGGAATTATATATATTTACCTATTTTTGCTTAAAACATAATTAGATTATAAAAAAAACATATTTTTATAATAAAATAGTTGTCTTATAAAATCAGATGCCTCCGTATTTAGCATTATTTTGAAGATACGTAAGTTATCAGTTTCAAAATACTTTTTGATATACAACTATCTTAAAACAAACACAAATAAATATTAGTTCGTTATAAAGACATTAATACTTTTGAGTTTTACTAAAAAATCTTTCAATTATTCTCTCATTTTCGTCGTAGTGAGAAAATATATTGCCATTTGTTAATATTGATTTAGTAAGTGAGAGGGCATGACATATTATTATTATATGCGATAGTTGGTGCATTATGACCTCATTTTTAACAATAATTCTTAATGACTATTCTCAACTCCTCCCCCACCCCCTCCCCCTAATTGATTTATTGTAAGCAGTAAGATCGAAATACAAGAAGATAAATAGTTCAATATGAGTTCTCAATGTAGTTTTGCTATTATTAGTAATAAAACATTTGAAGTAGGACATTGTGATCAAGGAAAATATTTGACTTAAACCCGACAAAAAATTAGATACTGTACAATTAAACGTTATAAATGTATTATATCGAAAAACAAAAAAGTAATTTTTTTTGTGTACATTATATCGACCGAAATAAATATTATTAATTGAATTTTAGTTTGTTAATATGATCAGAGTTTTTGTAAGGGTTTTCACTCTAAAACACTATATTAAACTTAATATTAAGACCGTTAAATTGATATATGTAAATACTTTTTTAGATACTTTCATAAATCCCTAGTTACGAAAATTTCATACGAATTATTTAAAATATATCTATGAGTAATGGACATGTTATATGAGATTTTTAAGCTAACAATCTCCTTAGAGTCAAAATACTATTTTTTAAGTCAAATCTACTTATTTAAATACAGTTTCGACAAATAAAAACAGTTCTTAAGAAATAAATGGCGTGATAATTTTATCTCTCTCGTTAAAATGCAAAGGTTTGTAATTTTAACAAACAAATCATACTTGTTTGTAATTTATTAAATATAAAATATAGTGATTTACATTATATTTACTTGCAATTTATTAGAACTAAATTATAAAGTACATATCAAAAAAGTCCAATTTAAAAAAAAATATTTTTAATTATTTTCAATAAGTTATATTTTTTAAATTATGTGCACATTTAAGATTGCCTCGTTATATTATTTCCTAATAAATTAATATCATTCATAAACTAATATTATTCAAAATTTTCTCAAATATTTAATAATTAAATTATATTAATTTGTAATAAATTTAAAATATATTCCATTATCTAGTACAAATGTAGAAATAAGAATTAATAATACAAATAATATAAATAACCAAGTCAAAAATAAAATTTACAAAAGTTCATGGGAGGTAAACGTAATTTTTAATTTTAGTTTTTCGTCCTCGCTTAAATTCCTTTTTGTGCTTTTATTTGGACCATCATCGTTTCGTCGTCGCCATCTCTGGCTCTCTCTCTCTCTCTCGCCCCCTCTCTCTAGAATCCTGTTTTTGCTCGACAGCTTCATTCAAACCCCTAACACCACAACAAACTCTCACTTGCATAGCTCCTCTTTTTATCTGAGAAAAATTTATTTCCAAGAAATTACCTCTCGATTCTCTCTTTATTACGATCCTGCCCCTCTTCTCTCCGTTTTATTTTTTCATCTTCCCTCGAAATGCCTCTCCGCTGCCTCGTTGTTTACGCCTCGTCGTGAATTGCTCGGGGTTGAATCAATCTCTGGTTGGATAACAGCTTAGGGCGCCATTCTTTACTCACTGTTCTAGAAGTTTCTCTGAGGTATTTGTTATTTTGTTATTATTTTTTGGTGGTTCATGACATCTGAAACTATTTTGCGAGAAACCTAGGTTCGGTTTTCGTTGATTATTGTTGTTGCGAGCGATTTTTTGTTTGTTGGATTTCGCGATATTTTTCGTGCGTAAAAGTGAAGGGAATCGGAACTTAATTGTGTCGTGTTGTTTTAGTATTTCCGATTTTCGGTTCACATGCTGGCGAATAATTTGTGTTAGTTCTGCTTGGGTTGAGTACAATCTGTGTGTATAACCATTCTCTTTGTTTTCTTCTTGGTTGGGGTAGTAAACGTGGTTTTAACTAGCTAGGGTATTGTAAGTATTGTTCATGACCTAGAATCCTTGACGGGTATATAATACTCTGCAATTTTTGTAGCTTATGGGAAATTAATATTTTTATTTTTTGTTTGCACGAGCAAACATCTGAATTTGGCAGTTTGTTTAAGAGACTTATGAATTTGGGATAAGGGTGCTGTTTCTGTTGATACCTACTGAATGTGTTTCTCATTATGGGTTAGAGTTGATGCTGTGTATCATAAAGAGATTTTAGCATTCTGAGGTGGATGTTGTTGAGCACTTTTAACTCAACTTTCTGTGCTCAAGTCTAGTGTTTGGTTTTGCTTCTTGGTGTACACGGTTTGGGAGCTTTTTTTTTCTCCTTTTGGAAAGAACATGGATTTAGAAACTTTTCATAATGGATAATTCGCGGTTTGCTAACGCTTCAATCACAAGCATATATAGTAACTTTGTTGGCATGTCAAATGTAAAGCCAAAATAAAAAGAAATAGTTGCTTTATTAGCATTCTGCAGTTTGTGTCTCAAGTGTACTAATTAGATTAGTAAGGCATACTGTATGAAAAGGAACAAGAACTTTGTCGTGACGCATCGTAAAGATATGCTTATGTAGTGAAGTTTCTAATTTTCTTAATAGCTGATGATCGCCTCGAGAGGAATGTTTCAGTGTGTTTCCGAATTTGAATGCATATGTTTCTTTTTCTCAGTTGGCATACAAGACACGTGGTCAGAGTTAGATTAGCTTTAATTTTTGTATACGGAAGCTCCTTAATTCACCTGAAAGAAAAAAGAAAAGCTCTTAGATGGCACCCTTTTGATCATGTTGTTGTTTGATTTGTTTTATGTTGACATTTGAATGAAAAGCTTATGTGTGTAAAAATAGTTTGTCGGTATTATTATCAGTTTCTCATTTCTGTTTCACGTGCAGCAAATAGATTAAGCAGTCATGTTTTATGGATTTAATAATGTAAATGTGCATTTAATATTTTGATCCTCTAAGGAAAAATGACTCCATTATTTTGGTTTTATTTTGCTTGGTCATGACATGCCTAGTGATATAGATTTTGGGAATGTCATTGACACGCTAATACACTTGTAAATTTTTTGTACATGGGTGATATCTCCTTTGTTGATATCTGTTAATATAATTATCTGCATTTTTTATTTCAAAAAAAAATATTTTGATCCTCTATAAGAAAACAAAAGGTCAAGAGTAGGCTTGACGCTTTATGGTCACTGGGTAAGTACACCGTATTATGATCCTATCTGATGTCGCATAGTCTTCTGAATAGTTCTTCGTCTGCTATTTAGTCAAGCAAAGCTCCTTGACAGATCCATTATGATAAACATTTCTTTCCCTCCATGTTGACATGTAAAGCTCCTCAGGAATTTTCAAAGATAGGGGTCAGGATATTGATCTCATCCCGACTGTCGAATTCAATAGGACATGAAGTCATATGAGGATGGGTGAGTCAATAATTGCTTTTCATTGACTAGCTGAAAGTCGTATATGACACGTTTGACTGCTCAACAACATCAGTTGGGATAATGGATGAAGTAATTATTCGTCTAGAAAGAGCAGATTTTTAGACGAGACACCTCCATTAATGCATTGGATGCAGAATTCACTTGAAAGGGTTTACATTAATTGTTGCTGCAAATTAGGGTCTTTGTATGACATGTATAGTTGAAAAAAAAGGGGCTCATGTCAACATCTTTATAGGTTCGCCTAGTTGCTGTCGTCTTTACTGGGTATTCAGGAGAGAACAATTGCAAAGGGAGAAGAAAGGAAGTTATTCATTCTCACTGAGAAACCATTATGAGGCCTGAGCACGAGTATTCATATGATTTGCACACTAATTAAGTAAATTCTTACAACTTAGATGGAGATATTTGTGTGGGCTTTTCTTCCTTAATGGTATATTAAACATTCTGTATTAACCATTTTTTATGTTAGAAAAAAATAATAAAGTTGGACACTTTTGTTAACTTTTTTTTTTTTTTTTGATAATTGGGGCATCCAACCAAGTTATTTCATATGGTGGAATGTTAAGGGTTCTGGTTGGAATCGTGAGAATCTCAGCACTCTCTTGATATTGTACACCCTTCATTTGTCCATTATTATGTTTTCGAGCCTTCACGAAAAGTGTGCCAGTCTATTGCTTTCTGTTAGGCTTTCGAGTCCTTGGAGTTCCATTAATGTGCTAAAATCAATAATCCCCTTCTCCTCTCTCTCTGAGAAAAAGGATCAACATCCCTCTTCCAATTGAAGGGACATGTTAACCTTTTCGAATAATTGGTCATCAAACCTAATCGTTTCACATTTATTTTTCCAGACAAATAATTTATTATAAGCAATTTCTTTTATAATGGTTGCATTAACTTTAGTTTTCCTTTTCAGTCATATATGTTGATTTTACATGGTTTGGCATTTTGATTATTCTCTTTTGTTCTATTGAATAAAATATTATGGTTAGGTCTTTGAATTTCAAAATTTACCTCTTAATTTTTTTTTGGTTTCATAGTACCTGACTCACTATTTATTTTTAGCGTCATGGACATGAATTGATGTAATGGTTTCATAAGCTTTGTGGTCTTTTACTGCTGATGTTTCTGTTGCTGATAATATCAACATAATGTCTCTCCCCCACTGTTTGTAGGTTGTTCTCTAGCTGACAATTTGAAACCTGAATCTGGTAAGAGTTTTGAGCTTGAAGAACACAAAACGATATTTTGATTGTCTTAGGAGGATCTAATGGAGCTGAAAGTTTCATCTCCGAGACAGAGGGCTCTATCTCCCACTGATTGCGTCAGTGATTCTGAGGAAAAGGAGATTAGTGATGAGGATGATGACGACCGCAACCATAAGCATCGAAGGCGAGAGACACGATCTCAATCTTTGGAAAGAGACGGCTCTGATCAAGTCTTTGCCAGGCCATACAGAAAGCGAAATAAACATTTTGAAAATGGGCATTCCTTCAGGGAAAATGAATCTCAAGCAAATGAAACTTGGAGGCATTATAATGTCTCCCCACTGGAGAAAGACCTTTCCACAAAGTTTGAAAGAAGACGTCCTGGTTTACCATCATATCTGCGTGGACCGTTGGATCAACGAATCAGGGCAAACCAGGCATTTTTAGGAGACACGGGTTCTGGTAGGGGAAGAGGAAGGGACTCTGGTTCCTGGACACGCGATTCTAGGTTTGGCTCTATTGAGATTGCATCTCAAATGGTTCAGCCAGGGCCGATGGCGCCACATCTCTTTGGTGGAAAGGGGATTGCCTAATGTGTCAACCACACAGAGCGCATCCTGGACTGCCTTTGGAATACTTCCTGGGGTACCAAATGGTGGGTTGGATACACTCCACTCCATCGGGTTACAAGGAACACTCAGACCACCAATTAATTCTTCATTAAACATAGGCATTCCTCGTCAGAGGTGTAGGGATTTTGAGGAACGTGGATTCTGTCTTAGAGGAGATATGTGCCCGATGGAGCATGGTGTCAATCGTATTGTTGTGGAGGATGTTCAGGTATGAGTATTGTTTGTTTTCTTCTGTTCCCAGTGATATTTGCATCATTTGGGGGAATGAAGTCCAAAAGAATGTGCTGCAGGACCTTGACCCAACCATGCATTAATTTTTGGAAATTTATGATAGGGTAGATTCGAATTTAATAATTTTGTTTGCCTTGCCAATTCATTTTTAGAAAATGTATGGGTATGGGTCAAACTTTTCCCAGCTATATTAATTTCTTTTGACTAATTTTTTTGTGATGCCTACTAAATTGCAGCACTCAACCTCGACGGTTAATGCCTATGCATATCCGGGCAGGATGAGAGCATTTTTTTCGTTGGAATTTCTTTTGTTATTTACCTAACTTTTATTTTTCATCAAAAGGCTTTGAGAATTCAGATTCTATGTTTCCACATATTGTGAAATTATAATTGGTTTAGCCGATGAAACTAGCCCTTCCATACTGCTAATTCATGCTAATTTTATTCGGATTCTCTGGCTTTTAAATGTTATGTAATTTGTTATCTTCAATGTGCCAAAATGATGCCAGGGTCACATTTATAAACCTCATTCTGCAGCTTCATGTTTTTGTAATCCCTTATCTGATTAAGAATCTTTGGACCTGTAACTTGAAGGAGAAACCATCATGTTTGATTACTACACTAGTTCTTTCTTCATGAGCCATTCATGAGCCAGTGCTAAAGGGAGAAAAGGAGAGAAATAAATCTCCGATTACTATATTAATTACTGGAGATTTAGAGCCATTCATGAGCCAGTGCTAAAGGGAAAAAAAGGAGAGAAATAAATCTCCGATTACTATATTAATTACTGGAGATTTAGTTGTTTGTTGAATTGCCATACTGAGAATTTTCTGGGGCTTTAGACTCTGTTACTGCCTTAAGATAATTAACTCGTGTACTGAAATTCTCTATCATTGTGTTCTTTTGCCATTTCCAGAGCCTCTCCCAGTTCAACCTTCCTGTTTCACTTCCAAGTGCTCAGCTATTGGGGCCGCCTGCTGGACCTGGACCCCTTCCTTCAGTTGGTGCTCCTTCAACATTGATTAACAACAAAGGAGCGCATAGCAAAGGTAGCAAACCTGGATTGAACAATGATGGGTTGGAACTAAGTGATACATATCCTGGTGCAGCTGGCGCTGATTTCTACGACCCTGATCAACCCTTGTGGAATAACAATGGTCCTGAAACTTCGGCTTCACTTGCTGCACTGCATTCACCCAAAATTGATGACATTGAGCCCTCATTGGATGATGATCGTCATCATGGTGCTGACAGTGAATACCCAATTAGGAGCACTGGGGCTATGGGTTCTCAGTCTCTGTCTGTTTGGGGTAGAATTGGTGGTTCAAAAAGCAAATTAAATTCAAAAGAGAAAATTGATGCAACATTAAGTTCCTCAGGTTATTTTGAAAATGAAGCTAAGATGGAGCAAGAGGCTTTAGGTAGTACCCAAGGTAGCTCCCGTCAAGGAAAACGGACTATTGCTGATGATGCTGGTCCAAAAGCCATGGATTCATCTCTCAAGACTCAGAATGGTGCTATGCGTAACTTGAGAAAATCATCTCAAAAGGCACTGCGAACTCTCTTTGTTAATGGAATTCCTCTAAAGAGCAACAAAAAAGAGGCTCTTCTTTCACATTTTCAAAAGTTTGGGAAGGTCATTGACATTTTTATTCCATTGAATAGTGAACGAGCATTTGTTCAATTTTCGAAGAGGGAGGAGGCAGAAGCTGCTCTTAAATCACCTGATGCTGTAATGGGTAACCGCTTTATCAGGCTGTGGTGGGCTAACCGTGATAGCATTCCTGATGATGGCGTGCCTGTAACTCCGCGTGTGATGGTAACTGGTTCAGTTCTACCCCATCAATCTGTTGTTCATAGAGGAAAAGATAATCTTCAGCCTTCTGTTCCAAAGGGTAACAATGTCCATTCTGCTGAAGTTCCTCCACTGTGCCGGATCTTCCTAAGCCTGTAATAACTAATGTCCCCAAGGTTCCTCCTCTGCAAAAGAAGCTAGAAACTCTTGAGCAGTTGAAGGAGGAGCTCCGCAAGAAGCAGGAAATGCTGGACCAGAAGCGGAATGACTTCCGAAAACAGTTGGACAAATTTGAGAAACAAGTACATCCCTCTCTTTTTCATATGACTATATATATACATATGGTGTCTGATTTTGTACGTTCAGCATACAAATTAAAAGCGTGCACGTACATATGACTATATATATACATATGATGTCTGATTTTGTACGTTCAGCATACAAATTAAAAGCGTGCATGTACATTTCTTAGATTGCTCTCAGAGCTAAAGGTCCTAATTCATTTTTGAATATTTTCTTTTGTTCATTTTGTCAATGTGAAAGTGCTAGGGAGCCCTAATGCTAGGATACTTGGTTTGAGTTGTGGTGTTAGAGCAGAAAATAGAAATACTGGAAGTGTATGCCTATGTTCTTATGCTATATTCCTCTAAGAAAATGTTCTTATCCTATGTTGCACAACAAGCAATGATTTTTGCAGTTAAAAAAACACGTAATACGATTTGCTGCTATGTTGCCTCCAAAATACTTAACAAAATTTGTGGCAAATATTGTGCAATTTAGGAAGGATGAGGAAGGGAAAAATATGTCTAGATTGATGATATTTGAGTACTTCCTTGATTCTTGGCAGTCCAAAAATCGTTGGGATATAAAATTTTTGATCTAGGCCATTATAAGAATCACTTGGTGTCCATAGGATACCATACTCATGTAAATATGCATAGTTGGATGCACTTATTTAATTGTATTTAATTTGAACTTAATGGTGAATAAACATGAGGGCACCATGTCCGTAAGGACATTATAGTTAGATGCCTAATATTAATCTGTTCTTACATCAGATTACTTTCAACTTCTTGCAGGCTACTGGGCCCAAGGGGGAGCCAGTGACAGAGCAAGCTGCTAAGAGACTTAAAGTGGGAGTGGCGGCTTATGCTGCTAAAGTTTCAACCAGTATGTCTTCTGATTCAGCTGCTGCTATGGTGTCACCACACACTGAGGTGCTTGGAGATAAGAATAATTCTATGGAGAATGTTGTGTCCCACAGCCAAAAATCAAACACAGCCATGGTTTTGCAGGAATCCACAAGCCTGAAGCCACAGAGCTATCCATTGGGAACTTTAAATACTCCCAGTATGATAAATAGATATAAGTTGGACAACCGCACTGCTTCATTCAGAGTTATTCCACCTTTACCAACTGGCTTTGCAGATGTAAGTCTTTCTCTCTCTCTTTCTCTCCCTTTACCTATATATCTATGTTCTATCTAATCTATTTATCTGTATGTGTATCTACTCTGACACTATTTTTTCTCTCTATTGCCCACTGTTTTCTACAAGAGTTTGTTTTTTTCTTGTTTATGGTACATCTGTTGTTATATGTTAAAAACTTGCATTTTAATGGCAGTTAGATGTTAAATCATAAAATTTGTCTGGAACCAGCATTCTTTGTTGTCTCTTCGGATTGATTGAGAATCTGATGGCATTATGTGGGCATTACCAAAAGCGGGCATGACTTACAGTAATAAAAAAAGTAGATTCTTCTCAGTGAAAAGAAAAAGAAGTTAAGAACAGAATCAGTGATCAAGTGCAATCAGATATGTGCTCATGTTTTCATATCTCATAGAAGTAGGACTATATTAGAGTCTTGTGACATTGACTCCCATAGGAATAGTCCAAAGCTAAAATATCAATCACAAAGATTCTTGATGCCAATTGTTTTGTGCACGAGGTTCTCTCTCTCTCTAACTATCCCTTAAACCTCTAAACTTGAGGATAATTTGATACATTAGCTGTCATGGACAAAAATGATTTTTGTCTTTGCCTCAGGTTTGATCTGAGTATCTTGGCATAAAGAATTCACTTTTGCACGAATTGTTTGCTAGGTATTGGCTGAAAGACCAAATCCTTCTGTAAACCCTCATTAGCATGAGCGCACATTAGTATAATTTATGATAGCTGGAGTCAGTAA